TGACTGAATTATCTGGTCAACTGTAAAGTACCTTGATATGACAAGTGTTGTGAATTGGTGCTACAGAAATAAACTGAATTGAATTGAAAAGAGGGAGGTCCCATCAGGAGCTCGTGGGCAGAACTCATGAAAGCGGGCTTCAGATTGAGCTTCCCGCTTGGTCCTAGTGCTCGACGAGTGTCGAGGTACTGTAGAGTAACATTGGTTTTTTGGACTGTAAAAATTGCAGGCGACCAAAATTGACTTTTCAAAAAGTGCAAGTGCATGCACCCGCCCCCCAAGTTATACTGAGTAAATGCTCACACTGTTACAAGAATTCTACATGGACAAAAGAAATATATGACTCGATCGTAATTTGAGCAATTTTACATTCACATTGAGGTAGAATTAAAGCATGGCAATTTATGTACAGCAATCTCTTAACATGGGTGAAATAGACTTTTTAAATAAGATATCTAAACACATGAAAGGAATTTTAAAACAGAGAATCCAAAAAGCCTTGGTGGATGCTTATAGTTCCAGTCACTGTCCTCTTATGAGAAGAGTCAAAGCTTTTATTTTCAGATTTAACCTCTCTAAAATATGCTGATGAAGATTCTCAGTCATCCAGGTCAAAGTCATGATTCTGAAGGTCGTCGTTAAAGGGGGGGATTGTCTCCTGTAATACCTGAAACCTGTCTATGATTGTTAAGGGTCGGTTGTTAAGGAAGTGTTGTTCACCGACTGGAGTGGGGAGGTACTTAGTTCCTCTGTAATGGGGTGGGGGTGTGGTGATATCTGGAAGGGATCATCTCTATAAATGAATTGTAAGATTTTGGAAGCTTCCAAAAACCAATCATAGACAGGTTTCAGATATTACAGGCTAACAATGGAACCAAACGACCCACTCATCGGTTTCTATTTGCATGTTTCCAAGCAATACAAGGCCTTGTCTATATAAAGACTCAAACTCACTGCGGATCCAGACATTTGAATTGAGAAAGCTTCCTGGAGAGGTGGCAAAAGATCTTTAAATCTTGGAAACCAAGTCCAGTGGATTTTTAAAAGTTTTACAGAGAAACGCTCTAAAATAATTCTTATCCAAAATGCAACATATCTATTTCTTTTAAATCTGCTTAGTGTGTCCAAAGACGTTTCATTAAAATACAATGTAATGCGTAAAAGGATGTGTGCTCAACTGAAGCTTAGCTTTCAGGGAGGCAGTTCTTTATGATTTCCAAAATCAAAGGAGGTAGTTCATCTCAGCTGAGAATTCAGTTTTAAGCAGAGTCCTCATTTCAGGGTCACTCTAAGCATTCTGAAAGAAGTCGCTACAGTCAATTTTTACTGCGTCTAGAGTAAGCTTCCCTACACACCCCACAGGCTCCATGAGGAGGCTGAGACTGGGGAAGAACTGCATCTCAGGAAACTCCTCATCGTCTTGATCATAGTTTTCCAGATTCTCCTGCCCGTGGGATGATATGTAGTCAATGATTGTGCTGGTGTCTGAAGAGATCTGGCACGAGCTGTCTGAGTCGTGGGAGAGGCTTTTGATGTAGGTGGTCAGAGGAGGATACATCAGAGCAGACAGTTCGGTCTCTTGGCCAGTGGTGCTCTCAGGTGAACATTTCAAAGGGTTGTTCCTTTGTGCAGGAGGGTCTCCAATCTGCCTGCACAGCTCCTCCACATCCACCAGAATGGTCTCGTCTTCAGGGTCAGTAAAACTGGAGTCGTGAGATGGGAGCTTCAGATTCATCATCCCCTAAGTGGAGAAGTGGGAACATGGTCAGATGTGAACTGTGGAGGATTCACCGATCTGTCTTCCCTTTAGCGTTTCACATATTTACCTTCTCTTTGCTGCATTCTCTTGCCCACTTGCTGTTTGCAGGGTCTGGCACCACATCAGGCATCAGGCACCGAAAAATCACACTGAACCTGAAATTGGTAAAAACTGTTTACAAGCAGCCATGATACTTTTCAGCCCAACATCACATTCCTTCTATATATACTAATTAGTATTATTATCTTGCACACATGTTCAAGATTATTCCAAGTAATATTAATGTGTTCAAGAAGTCAAAAATATTGACTGGAAATTCTTAGAAGAAAGATAAAAATTAGGGTGATGGCATGAAGGCTTTTCAACCTCAAAGATTCCAGTGGAAACATGCTGGTCAGCAAAGAAGGTATTATTGATGTAATCAGATTATGATATTTCTGTTGAAAGATAAACTATCAACCATTTCTATAATGTCCTTTCTTCTAAATATTGTGTAAATAGAAACATGGTTAATGATAAAATAATAAGACATTGGAAGGGATATGACTCATTAATCCTTTACTGTGTGCAAAAGCTGTTTTTGCTTAACTTTGAGTTAAGAGTGATATTTTAAGTAAAAGTGCGATAAAATTTTCAGAACAATCCATATAGAGGGTGGAGATTAATTGAAAGTTAAGGTCTGATTTTTCCACCATATTGGTTCAGATTTCTCTGATCAAAACTATGCTGATGCTTTGAAAGAAACAGATGACAAAATCCATGCATCCATATTCCATCACGCTTTATCCCTGCTGGAGTTGCGAGGGCTGCTGGTGCCGATCTCCAGCTGTCTACAGGCGAGAGGCGGGGTCCACCCTGGACAGGTCTCCAGTCCATCGCAGGGCAACACAGAGACAGCCAGGACAACCACCATTCACACACAAACCCAAGGAGAATTTAGAGAAGCCAATTAACCTAATAGTGATGTTTTGGACTGTGGGAGGAAGCCGGAGTACCAGGAGAGAATCCACACATGCACAGGGAGAACACACAAACTCCATGCAGGTAGACCCCGGGCCGGGAATCAAACTTCTTGCTTCAAGGCAGCAGTGCTAACCCACTGCACCACAGAGCAGGCTTAATTTATTTAAACCTAACCATCTTGGAATTTAATGCATTTCCTCTTGAAAAACAGCTTAATTAAAAGAGTATTGTTTTCCTAATTCTGGTGAGGAACCAAATTTTATGTGTCTGAGTATAATATTCTTCAGTTTAAGTACATTTTACAAAAAAAATTCCTGTGCGCATTTCTGCTGCGCCTTACAAAACGTTACTTAAAGTATTTAACATTTTACACACTACAGATTGTTGATGTATTTTTGTTATTGTAATTTTTTGTTATCGATATTGGTATTGTTCATCGTATTCAGTTTGGATTTTATGTGACTCGTCTTGTAAAGTAAAAAAAAAAAAAAAGACAGTAATGTGGGATACATCTGTATAGATCCCACCACCACAGCTGAACATTTCTAGACTGATTTTCTACATGAATTACAGCTTCAGTCTCTTCCTCCACTGGTTTTGGACATTTAAGGACAAAAAGTTTTCCTTACAAAACAGTTTAAACTCAGGCTGGATTGCAAGCTTTTAGTATTAGGGCCAGGCTAGAGATTTTTTAAATTCTTTTTAGTTTGAGAATAAAGTCATAACATTACGAGAATGAAGTCATTATGTTACCAGAAGAAAGACATCATACAACAACCTGTTCCCAATAAAAAACGTCAGGCTCCTACCAGCAGATGACGGCCGACCAGCACCGCAAAACAACAAGCTTTTATACTGAGATCAAATTGTAGAAAAAATTGAATCTAATCAAATGAGAATTTTTAACAGGCACAGCTTTGACAGCTCAGCTGTGGCTCTCCAGGCGCTCTCCGTAGCCATATTCCGATCATGTAAGAGCTACGGTTTGTTCATACCTAAAGATGAAAAGCGTCTGAGAGATTGCTTGTTTAAAGCTTCAGCAAGGTGGAATATAAAAAAAGGGTAATCAAAGACGAGTGTTGTCACAAGACAGCGGCCTGCTCAGTGGTTCTCTTAGCTGATTGCTCCTTCCTGTGTTTCCAAAAAGGCCAAAGTAAATAACCCAGTCCTTCTTTTCACTGTAGACAAGCCATGATCTGCTTCTCTGTTCTCCATTTTTCATTTGGATGAAATAATAGCTGCATGAATCATGACAGCAGACAAGATAGAGGAGAGCAGGAGGCGGGGTTACCAATCTACTTGCTCTGGAGAGCAGAGTTCGCTGCTTGATGAGGTTTTCTTTCCAACCAAGCAATAGCACACCAGACTCCAGTCATCTCATCAAGTCATCATGTTCAGATTGGACTCAGTTGATGAGATGACTGGAGCCTGGTGTGCGATTGCTTGGTTGGAAAGAAAACCTGCAGCCACATGGCCCTTTCTGGAACCAGTTTGAGACTCCTGATGTAAACTGAGTTTTATGGAGCCATCAGGAACTTGGGGACCCTAGACACCTGCCTAGTATTGCCTAATAGTAAATCCCCCCCTTGCTACAAGCATGCTTAGTGTGAGGCCAAGCAATCAACTGGTTTTCCTTAGATGGAAAACTTTTAACCAATCTGACTGTAAGATTTGGTTGAATTGTAAAGTGCCTTGAGATGACATGTGTTGTGAATTGGCGCTGTATAAATAAACTGAATTTAATTCAATTATAAATCTGGACAGGGTCCCATACATACCTATGCTTTACCGCTGTGCCCTTCCACAGACACAAAGTAAACGCCACCGCTGTGACGAGCAAACACATCATCAGCAGAGGGGAAAGATGGTCGTCTTCTGCAACAGCATCAGTAAAACAGAAAGTCAAACCACTGACACGTAAATTAATTTTCTTAAAGCAACATTTTTTCAGCTTTGCATTGGCAGTCAGCTAACCTCCTTTATTAGAATGCCAAATGATTTGCCATAGATTGAGAAGGAAAACTTCTTGCTCACTGGGTGGGTCAGGTTTCAGCTGACTGGTAAGGGGTGTCACCAGACCTGTTTTCTGATTTGATTGAAAAAGTGCTTTAAATTCACTGAACCTTTGCTGCAGTTTCCTAAAAGTGTCATGAAGTATTTCCTCTAATTTATTTGAGTTTGGTATAACTGATTTTAACAGGGCCAGATTCAGTCTAGATTCTATTCTGCAGCTTCCCACATGGACTTATTCTCACTAGAAAAACGACAATAATAAAAAGGCATGTTTAATATCGGCATAAAGCTGCAGAATATAATAGCTGATAAAGAAAAGGTGCATTTTCTGAAATGCTAATGTATAAATATGGGTCCTCCTTCACTGAAAAGGTGTAAACACTACAATAAATGTTTATTTTTTTCGACATCATCTAATCATTTTATTTTTATTCTTAACACACCCTTTAATTTCAGTGTTTATTCATAGAAAAAATAGAAACTTACTTTAATAAGCTTTAAATCTTAAGCTAGTCTGAGGTAAGAGGATCTCTTTATGACTCTCGTCTTCCCAGGGGCATAAATATGATGTGATGCACATGTGGGAAAGTACCTCACACCCACTGTTATGCTGTGGGCCTGGGAATGTTTTGAGAGCATTTGACCTCAGATTTTAAATAAAGATTTACTTGACTCTACCAAAATGAAGAGCAGGATTTCTCTTGCGGCTAAATAAATGAAAGCTTGAATATTTCAAAAATTCCACCCGTGTAATAAGACTATGTTATTGGTAATAAAGCTGTAATAATAGATCTTTAAGAGCGGTGCCATTAAGAGAGAATAGTGCTTTATAAGACTTTGATAAAACACTGAAAAGTTGCTTACCTTCAATAAAGAACTTGATCTTCTGACCTGGAGGACCTTCTCCTTTGGAAGTTGAAGCACTCATCCATAGACTGTAGGAGTCAGGATGAAGACCTTCGATGGTCTTCACCCTCTCTGATGCTTGTGCATAGTCTGGTGAGGTTTTCACAGACACGGAGAAGTCAAGTAATGCATCTACCCATCGAAAAACTTCATTTCATTTTTTATTTTCAGTTTAATTCTCAAAAGATTCAATAAAACAACTAGAAATGTGTAACAAACAGGGATTGGATGCTGTTCAGTAAATATTCAAGACTGGCAGCAATGTGCTGAAAGGCTTTGACACCGAAATATTTTTGCCCCTAACAACATCCTCTTCACATGGCAAAACAAAACAGCTGTGAACACCATTTAGCTGCACTTTTGTTTTATGTGCACCAAAATGATCTCAGAAACAAATGAAATTAAAAGGCTTAATGCCACATGGCAGGTTCAGTTAGCCTCGTGAGACCATCCTGATCTCGCGAGCTTTCAAGATTTCACTCGCTAATCAGTCTGGAGACTCTCCGTTAAAGAAAATTTGGAGCCGTTCACCAAACGAACGTCCAATCAGCGTTGGCTTTGAGGCGGGTTGAGGTGTGACGCAACGAGAAGCGTGACAGTTCAGTCTAAAGAACATGGCGGCTTCAGCCGATGAAACTAGCGTTAGCGTGGCTATCGAGCAAGTTTTATCGGAATTACAGAGTATTTCTTCACTGAAAGAAGAGCAAAACACTGCTCTGGAGGCTTTTCTCAGAGGAAAAGATGTTTTTGCTCTTCTCCTAACTGGTTTTGGCAAGAGTTAGCCTGGCTTGTGGTTGTGTTTTCGTCGTCGCTCTGTTACGTCATATGCTTCGTTGATCTGATTGGTTTATTTGGCCCGTCTATCACCAACATAGGCCAATCAGCTAACCAGTATTTTTGCCCCTTCCCAAAATTATTTCAATGGAAGGTTTCCAGATGGATATGCGGAGCAAATCCATCTGGCGGAGTCAGGTTAAGGTTCAGTATGATTGTTGTCTTACAAAGCTTTGGGGCTCCTGTCCTGTTTTGCAGATAGATGGTGAAGCTTGTGATGCATCCCCTGCGCTGCGCCTTAGGAAGCTCTGTCCAAACAACTGTCACCCTCCTCTTTTTTCCCTCCACCTTTTCCCCCACTGAGGGACCCATCTCTGGAGCTGGAAACAACAAAGCAGAACCCTGTGACACTTGAATGAAAAAGTCAAAATGCTGACAGGTAAAATATCTTTGTGATGGTTTTAGATGATGATTACATTTAAAAACAGACGTAAAAGTGTTATACTGTAGCATTGTTGTAACCTACCTGCCTCCAAAGTGGCGATTCGTCCAAAGCTGGTCTTACTCACTGAGCTCTTGTTGTAGAAAACATAAACTGCTCCTTCATAACACTCATATGGGTTCATATCTGCAAAATAAAAAAAAAAACAGAAAAAAAACACTTAAATATACCTTTAACTGATATAAATGTCAGATTAATGTACTTTCTGAACCTTCCCTAAAATGTGATGGTTTAAAAAAAAATGTAGATATGGGGCACACATTGAAACTGTGAGAAATGTTTCTCTGTTTAAACAGGCATAAAATTATTTAGAAAAACATTAAAAACCTTTTTTAATATGCTTTATTATTATTATTATTATTATTATTATTATTATTATTATTATTATTAGTATTATCTAGATATTGTTACCTCAGCATGTTTCAAGGAAACTACAGTCCTTAACTGTTATGATTAGGAGTGTTGAAGAATTCTGGTTTGATGTTTCTCTGCTCTTCTTATCATACATTATAAAATTCATCTGGTTGATTTTGTTGAACATGTTTGTTCTGTCATCTAATACTGCCATCTACTGGTGGTGGCAGCATCATGCTGAGGGCTGGTTGTGTTTCTGGTCCTACTGCTGTATTGAAGTGATTATTATAGATGGAGGACTACCTTAAACATTTCAGGTTAAATAAACAAGTAAATTAGTCAAACATGGACAAATATAGGTGGTCCAACAGGACAACGGTCCCAAACAAGCATCACAACATTTTTTGGCATGGAGGAAAGAGGCGTAACATGTTGGAAAAGCCCAATTCTGTGTCATTTCATAGTTAAAAAGAATGAGCTCAAAGCTCAGTTTACATAGATTAAAATGAACTAGTTCATAGTTCAACTTCACAAACCTATAAATTAACCATTTTAAGTTAATATGGAAAATAAAGCCACAATCCTCCACAATAGAACCTCTTATTTCACCCTTTATAAGTGTGATCATAATGTATAGAAAGAAATGAAAAATAGTGGAAGAAGTCAAGGTATGCTAAATGTGCAGTGAAGCCTTTACAGTAGTAGCCATTCAAAATTTTCCCACTTTCCATGATGGACCCTTGGCTGGTCCCTTATAATTCCTTTTTAAACATCAATCTTTGTACTAAAATATTCTTTCTGTCATGATTTGTGGACATTAAGATCTAAAGAGAAGCGTCATCTCCAGGTAAGACCCTGTAATTCAGTGAAAGGGGGGAGTCAGAGTAACATGAGAAGGCCAGTGGCTGGAAGTTCAGCTGGCTTTTAACTCGGATGGGCCATTTTGAATGGCTGCTACTGTAGCAAACAGAAATTTGTATTTCTTTATCTTAAGTGACCTAAAACAGGAGTGAAGTCTGATTTATTGTCATATAGTCTTAAACTTCCATTCATCCATCCATTTTCTAACACACTTACTCCCAAGTGTGGTTGCAATGTGTGCTGGTTCCTATCTCCAGCTGTCTGTGGGCGAGAGGCGGGGTACATCTTGGACAAGTCTCCAGTCCATTGCAGTGCAACACAGAGACAAACATGACAAACAACCATTCATGCACACACCCACACCTAAGGACAATTTTTCAGACTGTGGGAGTAAGCTGGAGTACCCGGAGTGAACCCACGCATGCTCAGGGAGAACATGCAAACTCCATGCAGAAAGACCCCGGGCCGAGAATCGAACCCAGAACCTACCCACTGCGCCATTGAGCAGCCCAGTCTTAAACTTATCTTTGTCTTATCTTTGAGATCTGCATGTCACAGTAGGATTTCAGTATCTGTTAAACCTGTTTTAGCTAATTTTCTATCACCATGAGTCTTTTCTTCCATTTTTCCATTTCTCTATGCTTTGCTTGCAGAGTTATAACATTTAAATTGGTCAGTATTTCTCCAGGGTTTCCAGACATCTTTGGAAAACCTAGTTCTGACTGTAGAATGAACCCTGGATGTAGCCCTAGGAGAAGAAGCTTGTCACTCCAGTGGCTGGAAGTTGGAGGGAAGTGGGCTGCCATTCTGATGGCGTTTGACTGGGAAGGACCATTTTGAATGGCTGCTACTGTATTTAGCCAAATTACACCAAACTTCAGAAACATACAGGAACATTCAGGTTCTGCTGAAAAGATCCAGATCTGGAATTATTTCTTACGTTCCTCATTCAGTAGCAGATATTTCCCATGATGCTCTAACTCCATGTGTTGCTTTCAATTTAAAGCGGATGTGGCTGACATACGGGCTTGTTTGTCCCAGTGGGCGCAGTTTGCACAAAAAGAGGATATTTTTTTCAGTCTCAGTCTTCCATTGTTAGTTTATAAAACTCTGCTAAGCGCTCTGCTAAACTGGCATCAAAAATACCAGCAGATGAGTCTGAATGGAGCAGACTAGTACTGGCAGTAGACATGCTGTTCTGTCAGGCTGTTTGCTGTAAGTGCTGTAAAACCTGACATTATCCAATGAAAAATGTCGTTATCAATTGAACGCAACCTGAGCTTTACACAGATTTTATTTGTCATTTTGTTTACACAAGTGTAAAACAAAAAATAAATTTGGAAACAGCTCACTGGACAATTTCATCTTTTTAAAAGTGCAGCCTTGAATAATAGTAAAAATGACTGTAAATTTAAAGTTCTAAAATTTTTTGAGCTGTGTGCATCGCTCATTATTATCAGAGTGAACGTCGCTCTCGTTCATGTTCATTACTTCAAAACTTATCTGTTCAGCTCACCATTAAAGATAAATATGTTGAGTGAACGCATTCATTGAACCCATTCATGCACAACATTGAAAAGGCTGACCCCAAACCAAGTAAAAAATGTAGAGTCTGTTTAAATGTCAGTCCATACCATCTCCACCATTGGAGAAATATCTGATTGGTAAATACTAAAACCATGTGGTTACTCTGCAACTTACAATATGCACTAATCTTCTGAATCACCTTTTTAGCAGGAATTTTCTATTTTTTTAACTTGGTTTTAACATCTTACCTGTGATTTTAAAGAAGGTTTCAGTGCTGTTCAGTCTGACCCATCTGAGCTGGTTCAACATGAGCCCCTCTGAGAACCACTCCACCAAATAGTGGGCAGGTGCAGTTTGAGGTTTCCTCCAGGAGATGGTGACAGTGTGATTCTCTGCTTTCGATTCAATTTCAAGAGGTGCTGTTTTGGCCAAAAGCACATCTGCAGGGCACAAACACATAAGAAAGGGAAGCCTTTACTGTATGGAGGTGAGCTGAGACAGAAAACAGAAAACTACCTTCCGAACAATCAGAGTATGTTGAGCTAAAAAGTGTTTAGTTAGACAGATTTCTTTCCTTTATTACCGTCTGTATGATGGGTTGTTATGGTTGCAGGAGGCGACAGGCCTTTGGAGTTCACAGCTTGCACTGACACTTCACAGTTGCTGCAGAATGGGATAGAACGGTTCTTGACTTCAGCCCCGACGTTTGCGACGACACTGTCGTTGCTGTTAACTTGGATCTTGTACTGTGTGATGCTCCTGCTGCAGACGGCCATGACGGACACCTGAAACATTTGGAAGATCTTCACTTTAGCTCTCGTGGCATGTTTTCTTTGCTTCAGTGAGAGATTACTGTCGCCACACCGCAAGATGAGTGTGTAAGACACCTCATTTCTGTTCAGCTCCTCTTTTTCTTGTAAACTGAAACTGCGGTGTCTACTGTCAGGTTTCAGTTACCCCTGGGTGTGTATGAGACATTAAAATACTCCGGTTGTGTGTGTAGCTGAATATTTGGTAAACAGTGTTAATGTGTGTGTGTTTATGAGGATGTCATACAAAGTGGTCAGGGTTTGACCTTTAGCCTGAGCAAAACAAAGCGGGAAAACATGAGGATGAGAGAGTAATAACCCTGTGAGCAGGCAGGAAAATGTGCGAGCATGCTGGGACGGATGGAGACAAGATACGCCTTGGTTTTATGAAACCGCAATACAGTCTTATATGAAAGATGGCCAAATATAGAACAACTTTACTTTTATTAACTGACTAATTACCAACGGTTCATGTAGGGTCAAGAAATAAAGAAGTAAAAACAAAAGAAAGGAAAATGCTACATATTTGTAATGGATACATCTATAAACTTGGTACATTTTAAATGTGAATTCCAAAATTAAACACACATCACTCTTAATCAAATTATATATACATATATGTGTGTGTGGCACAGTGGTGGTAGATCCATGGTGTGGGATGTGTTTTCTTCCTACACCTGATATGGAGATTGTGGAGGTTCCTTCAACTATTTCAGTGTCAGTGCGTCAGCATTTCAATGTTTGTTTCACACGGCACATTTATTTTAGGATGTTTGCTAATATTGGTGCACACATTTAGTAAACATCCTGGCTGTTTCTCAATTTGTGTACTTGTACATTCTCATGTGAACGTGTACTCGTGAAACGTCATTGGCCTCAGCCAAGAACGGACAAAGTCTCCCGATGTTCTCACCCCTCCCTCTTTACCCAGCATGCATCTGAGCAGACTTGTCCATTCTTGAGACTGACAGCTGTCCCAGCATGCACTGTGGCAGGTTAGAGCATTAAGCTAAAAGTTCTCTTTTCTGTTGTTGTTGTTCAATGAAAGTATTCTTTAGATTATTTGAGGCGAGAACATTAAACTTTTAAGCTTCACTATATGGCCTATTCACCGATTTAATGTGTAACAAAAATGTTCATTTGATTTGTGTTTATCTGACTGTGTTAATTATATGTTCCCCACTAAATAAAAAAAAAAAATTTACTATTATCAAGAGACTATTAATAACATGAGGTGAAAAGCAGCTCCAGACGAGCCAAGCATGTGGGGACGTCACGAGTACGCTTCTGTTCCAATCGACCCATATTAATGCTGCCTGCTACCGTTCCCCCAGAGTCCATGCTTTCCTGTGTTCTTCTCAAGAACAGACTTGGCGAGCACACGAGTCCATACTAGCGTTCTTGTGAATTGAGAAACAGCCCCTATGAACAGTATTTCAAGATCACTAACTGTTTTTCTTTTGCTGAGGTTGAAAGAACTAGTTGGGAGAGCAAATATGGTGTAACACAAGGAAGTGGAGGAATCCAACAAGCAGCTGATAGTGGGAGATTGGCTCTTTAGAAGCTGTCAAACACTCAAAGATCCACTGTTTTAAAATACATTTTGGTGTTTGAATGTCTTAGTTTCATACTTGTGTTGTAGTTAGTTATTATTTATAGGTTTGACTTAGTTGTCTAGCTTTTTTTATTGTTTTTTTTTATTGTAAGTTTTCTCCCTCCCCTCCTTGTTGTTTGTAGGTTAGCCTATGTGTTTAAATACCCCTGTGTCCATTGGGAGAGGTCAGCTCTGGTTTGTTATCCTTGGTTAAATTTGTCTTACTTAATATAATCTTTTGGCCTGATTTTTACTGAATTTCGAAACTTTGGTTTGTTCTACCATGGAAGAATAAATGCCTGATATTTTTTCTACGCCTTTGTCCTTTGCCTGACTGCTTGGTCCCTGACAGAGATCTATAACTGTTGCAGGAGAACATTTGAACACAGTCAATAATTTTCACCACCTTTGAAGTAAATATAAAAAAGGTGAGATTATGGTACCAGTGCAAAGCAACCAAAACATGGCCATCCAAGAAAACTGACAGGCTGTTTAGAAAAGAAAAGAAAAATAAGTAGGGAAGCAGCAAATAGGCCCTTTGTAAGACAGTCAGACCTGAACATTAATGGATTTGGTCATTAAAGTGGCAAACAGAGAGTATTTATTAAAGTCCAATATAGGGGTTTCCACTTGGCATACAGGAGACACAAGGAATATGTGGAAAAAGGTACAATGATCAAATGAAACGTTTGCAAAATGTTAATATGATCCACTCATGTGATGGTGGCAGAATCATGGATGGGGACGCAGGGTTGGGGAAGCCAGTCAGAGTTAATGTGAAAATGAACGGAGGAGCTAAATACAGAACAAACAGTTTGAAGATTCATTTTCCACCAGGACAAAAACCCTTAACAAACAGAAAGAGCTAAAAATCAAATAATTGTCTAAAGGTCCACACCTAACAATCTCAGGCTAAACATGAAGATTGCTGTTCTACAGTGGTCTCCATCCAATCTGCCTGAGATCAAGCAATTTACCACAAAATAATGGGCAAAACATCTAGTCAGGCAAAAGTAGATAGGTACAGCATTACTAGATGTTCTAAATAAAGAGGTTCTAAAATGTAAATTTTTATGTTTTCCTTATAGTTCAAAATTATTTCATTTTGTGTTGGCTAATCAAATACAGTTGCTTCATGCTTCTACATGTTTCTGTCTGTATCTCTGCTTCTGTCTCCTTGAACCCCAGTCGGCCTCAGCAGATGGCCGCTCACACTGAGCCTGGTTCTGCTGGAGGTTTCTTCCTGTTCAAAGGGAGTTTTTCCTCTGCACTGTCGCTACAAGCATGCTTAGTGTGAGGGATTGCATTCGAGTCAATGAGTCGATGCAATCAACTGTTTTTCCTTAGAAAACTTTGAATCAATTTGACTGTATGATCTGGTGAATTGTAAATTCCCTTGAGATGACGTGTTGTGAATAGGCGCTATAGAAATAAAGTGAATTGAATTGAAAAAGTTCAGCAGGTACATATGGGATCTGTATATGTAACAGGAGCAAAACAGAAAAAAAGGCTGTGGCATTGAGACTGTGAATAAATGACATTAAAAATGAATTTTTATGTGTCTGTGTGCTTGTCCTGCTGCTGACAACTGCCTCCTTAAAAACAGCGTGTCATCTTGAGAAGTGGGTCAGCCTTCTTTCTGAGGTTGGGTTTTTCAGAGTTTTTCTTTTTTTTTGCTTAGAGCACCACTCAGCCTTCACCACAGGACTCCTACCTACAAGGTTTTAGGCTAAATTCCCTCATGCTTTTGGTCATATCTGTACCATAAAACATTTGAAGGAATTCAATAATTTATCTACAGTTTTTTTAAGAATACTTATTATTTAGCAAAAACAAAACAAAAAACATATGTAGAAACGAAGAGGACTTTAAATCTTACCTTCCAGTAGACTCTCATGGACTTTAAACCAGGAACAGGGACAAGCCACACATCCAGAGCTGGGGTGGGAGCTTTTAAAGCAAACAACACAGGAAGTCATTATTGTCTTACCTACTGGGTGTGAGTTTCTATTTGAGATGATGTTTAAATTATGCTTTTTGTTATGTGTTTCTTAATAAAGGCTGCAATAGTAATGAAACGTGAGATACTTTCCAGTGAGGCTGCTTTGTGTTGTATAACCTGGTTGGTACCTACACTGGTGGTTCTGGTAGTTTTTATGGCAGATGCTTGTGTGCATGTAGAAACTTTGAAAACAGGAAGGGGTACTTTCACTCAAAGGCAGCTTGCAGCTGCGTTTGACTCCACTCCAAACTGCTTTGTACTCCGCTACAACATCTGCGTTCTCAGTTCGGGCAGTTTAGGTTAAGGTCCACACCTGACAGTATATAGACATTTTTTTTGCCTTTCTCACATGTCACACTGGGACGGAACTCAATGGGAAAGGAAATTATTCTGATTTCTGATTTGAACCGTTCCGTATATTAGCTGCGACATATGAATCACGAAGCAACGACCAAAAAACTCTGATTGACAGATGACCTTTGATATATGATTGGCCAATTGTAGGTGTTCACGCTGACGGATAACTAACTGGCCTGTATATGATAACGAAAAAAACCCGAAAAAACAGACATTTTCTAAATTTTAGGACAATATGGTCTGATAAAGAGTACATTTATATACATGTTTAAGGCAGAATGATTTGACAAATAAAAATGATTTATACGACTTTAAGTTTGCTGAAGTTATTTTAGAATTTCATACAAGGAAAGGGAGATGTAAATGCAAAACTGAAAAACCTGAGTTTGTTCTGTTTGTCGGTCATTCTTCATTATTTGCTCATTTGAGATCGGGTCACCCTATGTTAAGCCCAAAATTATCCATAACCCTTTCAGATTTAAATTTAAAGTAATCTTTTGTTTAAAGCAAAATGATTATTCTCACCAGAAAGCATATAGATGTGTGTGAAAGTGTCACACTTCACTGAGCAAAAGAGCTATAATATTTACAATAGAGTTAAGATTGCATGCAAACAACATACACCAAAATTATTCCTACCCTTGCAGACTGTGTATTTTGGGGAAAATCAAAGGTTTTATACCATTCCTCAAAGAATCTGCTGTTTTTAAGCTTTCTGATTACCCTAATTAATTTGAAACAGCTCTTTACAGCAGGTGAAAAATGCAAGTTACCTACAGACGGCAGGTTATGGCTAAATCTGAAAACCTGCAGTGGATTGCTCACAACTCCAAAAAAGGTTAGAAGAAAAATGGCTCTATCTAAATGTTATATCTAGAAGTTCCAGCTGCCACAGCAGTAATCACCAGCCAACCATCTCATCTTTTAATAGTGGTGGACAAAGAACTTAACAATAGTACCTGAGTGAAAGTATTGATTCTCATGGTCAAATCTTACCTAAATACAAGTAAAAGTTACTCAGTCAAACATCTACTCAAGTTAAAGTACCAAAGTACTCACTTTTCAAATGTACTTGCATCCAAAAGTACTGAACAATTCAAAACTGCTAATGAAATGTTTTTAAATCAGTTCATTTCTGTGTAATTTTCAGAGTAATTTTAAAGAAACTTGTAACTTTCAGAAACCACTTGATATGAAAAACCACCTGCTACAGATTATACACCATGTGTAATGAACTTCAGCATACAGAACGGAAAAAAGTGTCTTTATTCTTCTCATATTTTCACTATGGAATGGAGGTTTAATGTTGAATCTATTACCATGAAGAAACTGCAAATCTATTTGGAAATTCATCCTACTGAACAACTTGGCCACATAGCAAGAACTGACACCTTAATAACATTTATAAACTACAAATAATATCTGCTCTGAGTTTCTTACATATGTAGAATGTCATCAAATCTTTAAATCAGTGGTGTCCAAATTCAGTCCTAAGGGCTGCTAACTGCTTTTGCATTTCAGTAAAGAAAACAGCAACGGCGGATTATAAAGCTAAGATGACCCAAAAGGAACAAGCAGCTTCCTAGAAATGGAGTGAAGTGAAAGTTAATCACTCAGGGAAAATGACTCAGGTAAAATAAAGATACTCAAAAAAGTACTTAATCAAGTAAATGTACTTTGTTACTTCCCACCATTGGCTTTTATGATATTTTTTACTTTTTATATTTAACTTAAGGTGTATTTTTTCAATTATGTTGTTTTTTTTTTACTTTTGTTCATAGCCCTTTGAAATCACCATAAATAATACTTTGCCTTATCGTTGTTTTTATTTAAAGAGTTTTTGTTATTAAATGTAACTACATGGCTTAGCACCTCATCATTCTTTTATTACCACTCTAAAATTGCCGGTAACGCACAATCAGCTCATTTTAATAGGGAAGAAATAAACTGCACATCTTAACATTTGCTTTGCAGTCTTTGTAGATCACCCACAACCCACCCACTTATTAAGCATTAACAAAAAAACAAAAAAAAACAAGAAAAAACTGTATGTGTAATTTACCGGTCCTGCACTCCTTACAGGGAAAAGCAGTCAGGATATGCAGTGTGTATGTTTGCTGTAGTAGCTGAGAAAAGTAAGAATTGTTTTGTCCTTTTTTCCTAAAATAGATTACAGTCTTTTTCTATTCAACAAGTCTTTTTTATAACCTTAAAAGAGCATTGCAAAGAAACAAAGAAACAAAAAAAAACTTGTGTAAATCTATTTATCTTTGGTCTTGATTTAAAGAAATGAGAAAAAAAGCTGATACAGCTTAAAATAATGGCATCCCCAAAGGTTAAAGGTCAGAACTTATCATTCTTTACCCATAAAAAGTGGCAGTTGATGTTTTCAATAATCCTTTACACAACCTTGAAAGAAATGTCTGAACACCTATACCTTTTGCCTTCAGTGGAAACTTATTATCTGTCACTTCAGATTATTCATAGATTATGTGTTTGTAGAGAGCTCCATATCTTCACACCATCGGAACTACAAAATACACAGCAGCATTTCCTATAAAGCCTAGATTTCCTCTTAACTCTGCCTTATTTGCTTGAGTTATGTCAAATTTAGTTAGTTTAGTTAGACTTAATTTGCAAGAAGCATTAAGTCGAATCTCAGCTGGGACGTGAGGCCTTGGCTGCCTTATCAGCAAAGGTGGTTTTGTTCTGTACAACTAAAATTTCTTGTTATCTTCATGGCTGTTTAGAGAGTCAGTGGTGATCTGATAGCAGCCTCAAAAACCCAGACTAAAGGAAACATGTTGATTAAATCTAAACAGTGCTCTACTGGTGGCTGCAGACTCACCCTCTTCTTCTGTCTGGTTAGAGATGCTTGAGCTCCACTGACTCCACAGGCCCGTGCTGAATCTGGACCTGACCCGGAAACTGTACAAACTGCATGGCTCCAAGGAAGAGATATGCTTGGTCTTAGATGGGATCATCAGTCCGACCTGCAGGAAATTATTTTTAGTGGGAAAATATTGCAATCATTTCACTTCTACTTAACATCTGTGCTCTATCACATAATTTCCTGTATTTTCTTTATTTCATATAAAAGCTTGATGTTTTTGCAAGATTTCAGTACTAAAGGAAATTTCTTTTAGGAGACAGTTAATCAAAACGGACCTGCGTTGATGAACAAACAGTATAAATGCACAAAGGAGCCAGAAAGGTCAAAATTTCAGCTTATTCCTGAGACTGGTGAGTCATTATGCATTCACTTCTTCACACATCGTGTCATGCACCTCATATCTGCCTCCAGCTCTGAATCAGCAGAAGCTCAGAACGATCTTCAAAGATCTTTAATAAGACTTATGCAATATCGGAGTCTCACCTAAAGCCCCTATCCCCCCACCCCCCTACCTAAAAAAAACGGTATAACCCTCTTACAGGTTCTGCATATGTTCTCCACTCCTGCTGCTCCATGTCTCGGTACTGGACCTGCAGATGCTGCGTTCTCACAGCCTGCTCAACTTTGATGGTGCAGTTCCTGGAAGAGCACTCGACTGTATCAATAGCAGGCGTTGACGGCATCACTGCGCGGATCAGAACAAAGCAAAAGGATATGCTATGAATAAAAAGTAACAACAAAGTTTACAGGATTGTGATGCAAAGGTCATTCAAAGCGGCTGGTGGGATGAGTGATTGGAAATGAGAATGAAAGGTTGGCGTTTGGCTTGGAGACGTCAGAGATTTATGGAACTTAACTAAAATTCCATCGAAGACACCTTTGATGCAAATGAATATAGATGCAGTGATTCATCTGTGCAGATGTGCAGCTTAGCAACAAGTCTTACCGATATCCCTGAGTGTGTAGTTGACGACAGAGGATTCTATAGAACCCAAAGGGTTACTGGCTTGAACCCAGACTGACATGAACTGGACAGATGTAGGCAAAGTGAAAATGGCAGACAGCAACTCAGTTCCTTTATTGGACACATTGCACGCCGGCACCGCTCCTCCGCTGTGGTTTCCACTTACAGCTTGTACCCTTAAACCCACAGAGCAGAGTTTCACTTCAGAATATCTGCATGGTTTTAACACTTAAGGGCAGTGTAGTGTAGGAGAATGTGCTCACCACAACGTGAAGCGGTCCCGAAGATAAGTGACCCTTCCTCTGTGCCAGGAGCAATTCACACTTCCCGTATCATTTGTCAGGATCTTGTAGATGCATGAAATGTTTTTGGGTCGTTCTGGCGGATCTGGACAGAAAAGTGGACAAACTGTTGATTTGCATGTGTGAAAAGCAACCACACTCTTTGCAGTTAGCTGTGAGCAGACAGTGTCACTAGGCAGCGGAGTGAAAGCAGAACAAGTTTTAGCTAATTTTTAACAATTATTAAACCTAAAGCTGGTTCGCGCTTTAGGTCAGGAAAACTTAATATTACAGTGTTCTGCTCTCTCAATTTTATCCCAAGAGAAAAAGGAAACACAATTAGTTGTCCCATCAGCAATAAAGCTGTAAACTCTGAGAGACACAACCCTGCAGTCTCATATGGAAACTTGTCTTATAAGGAAGTTTCATGTCTAAAACAATCAGCAAAATAAAACTCCTCCAAAAGGAGCACATGTTCCAACTTACATCCAGCTGAGATGTCCAGTCCACAAGAGTCCTTTGGGGGGTTACAGTCAGCTAAACAGCTATATGTCCTCTTCTCTGTGATTTTCTCCACCCTCAGGAATATGGTTGTCTCATTGAACTGTTTGTAAGTCAGCTTTTCTTCTTCCCTGGAGCCGTCGGCACACATCTGCATGGATCTGGAGCGCTGGCATGTTGGGTTGAAGGTGCAGTACACCTCAAAGCTGGAGCCTCGTTGCACCATGTCTCCAGCACTGGACCAAAGCACACAGGATGACTCGCCTGGAACCAGAAAAATGTTTTATTCCTGATTACGTTAGAGCAAGTAAAGATTCACAGATTTCAGTCAAGATGTGAAAAAAACTAAAATTAAAATCACATAGGTGCATCTCAATAAATTAGAATGACATAAAAGATAGATTTATTTTTGCTTATTCAATTCATTAAGAAACATATTTTTTTTTTAGGTTTTTATTTCTATCAGTTTTGAATGAATATGGTCAGGTTCCTTTTTTTTCTTGCATGTATTGCTGCATCTGTGCAGGGCAGTGTGCAGCTACTGTTTCATTGCAGACGAGCATTGTATAACCCATTAGTCAAGTTTTCTGGTTTATGCATCCCATACAGTAGTATATCTCCTCTGGAAAAAATGCATTGGTGCTTTTGCATCTCCATGAAACATTTTGGGATATGGAAGGATAACCACACCAGTTTTCCAGTAGAAAATGCTGAATTTGACTTGGAAACAAACACAGGGATACCTAAACCATCACTTAAAGAGTAAACTTCCCACTGGACTAATCTGTACCTCTTTATCATCTCATTCTGGGATCTTAAATCCAGTGGCAAAGCCAAATGAACTTCCTGTTATCTATGTCAAGTCACGGTCCTCTGACGTCTCTTGCGTGCAGTTAAACACAAGCAATGAGACAGTTGTAGCCAATGCATGTCCTGGAAACATACGTGTGGTGGATCCTGTGGTATTGTAACTGCAGCTCAGTGGGTAATGCAGTCGCCTTGAATTTGGATGGTTATACAGTAGGTTTAAGTTCAGCTTCCTCCTGTCACTGTACAAGGCACTAAACGCATTATAACTAGAAAAGTGACACCTCCCAAACTCCTGCGCTGAATAAAAAACAATGCAACATTTTTAAGTATAACTTATTCATATTTAGTTACTTTATCACAACCATTTCATGTCCTACCATGCTAACATGAAAACAATTATCCTAAAGTAATCAAATATAATTAAGTAAATGCCAAAAAACGGTTGCATTATTTTTCTTCTGAACAGAGTATTAATGGACTTTTCCATTTTTGTGACTAACCTCAGCAAGTGATTACTGTCAGTAGTTATGTTTTAAAAAAACAGTAAGGGAATGGTGGAATTTTTTATTTTCCTTTTCCAAGAATACATAGCCTAATTGATTAAGTCAATTAACCTGAAGCAATGTGTATAGTCTGGTTGTTACATGTCAGGTACGTCGGTCATTGATCTTGACCAAGGCACCTTCCAGTAGAACTGCAGTAGAACTGCAGTCAGTCCCTGGACTAGCATGGCTATCACTGCCCCTATATAGTTAACATGGCTATCACTGCCCCTACATACTTAGCATGGCTATCTCTTTGCCCCTATATAGTTAGCATGGCTATCTCATTGCCCCTACATAGTTAGCATGGCTATCACTGCCCCTATATAGTTAGCATGGCTATCACTGCCCCTATATAGTTAGCATGGCTATCTCATTGCCCCTACATAGTTAGCATGGCTATCACTGCCCCTATATAGTTAGCCTGGCTATCACTGCCCCTACATAGTTAGCATGGCTATCTCATTGCCCCTATATAGTTATCATGGCTACCACTGCCCCTATATAGTTAGCCTGGCTATCACTGCCCCTAC